CTCTCTCTCTCCCTCTCTCTCTATTACAGATCAGTGGAAGTTACTGTATTTGCAAGCGGGTTGTTACCATAGAAACACTCACTCATTAAAGAAATGTTTTGTCTGGTGAATAAGAGAGTGGCAAATGTTGAACAATTGTAAGTGAGATGTAGAATGAATGCATTTTTTCATAAAATTATGTATTTATTAGTAGTTCCTCTTGAAGATACACTGAAGCAGGCGTATAGAGTAACCTTAATAACTATATGGACATGATCAGCACACATTACTCTAAATATGAAGCTCTATGAAGCAAACTTGGTCAGAGCACCTGTGAACGGTACTGAATATAAACCAGCACAGTTCTCATGCCTGTTGTCATCTGTGAACATTCATGTTATTTAAATGCATTTAGCACATTAAATGGACGTATACATCATAATAACAAATGTATCAGCGGATCGGATAGCATTGTATCACTGTTCAAAAGCTAGATTATACTCAGCATCTTCTGAAAGAGAAAAAGTGTAAACCAAACTAAGAGAAGAAGATCGGTGTAAAATGCCATTCTCTGGCAAGTACATCTGCAGGTTTACGGCTGCTGCTAATTATAACTAAAGCAAATGCATGGTTTGGATTTGGTTGCTAGTGGCAACGTGTGTAGGTGGCCACAAACTCATACACTGAAGAAAGACACAAGAGTCTAATTACTGGAAGCTCATTTGGCCACTTAAACGAGGACCAGCGCTCTGCTTGACTCGGATCACGTGTCGGCTGTCGACACACATTAATCACACATTAAACCTGCCTTGATTGAATGGACAGATACTACTTAGCATCTTACATGGCACACATGATTAGAACATTGCTAAGAGTGTTTATTTATAACATGTTTATTTATGATATCACTTTTGCATGCATGAATTACAATCCTCAATAAGATACTAAATATGACAATAAGAACATATGCTATGTACATTTAATTTCATTCATACAACTGTGATACTGTGGACAAAAACCTGTTAACAGCTCTTTACTTTGAGGTAAACAGAACTGCATGCACACTTTCCGACACACAAGTGTCAAAGTGCTTGAGGAATGAAGTAAATCCACACAGATGTCCTTCCTGAGATCATCACATGCTTCCTGTCCATTAGCTCCTCGGCCTCCTCGACTCCGTCTCCAGCATCTGAAGAGCATCTCAGCAACCCGCTTTCATAAAACACTCACTCACACATTTAAGGAAAGCGTGAAGCTGTTCTGACCACATCAGGTGACGCAAAAGCAAAGATTAATGCTTCATTTCATTTGAATCTTTTGATTCTTGTTGTTGAACGTGGATGAGATTGCTCCTCGAGACCTTCCTCCATCTGCTCTTCTTCTTTTGTACCTTTTATTCAGCCCCTCTGCTTTTGTTTAATGGTATGCCTTCTTTGCATCAATTTGTTCAGATTAAATATGCTTCCTAATCCTAATAATCTATAATAATAACTGTTATGTACACTTAGATTATTAAACATATTTTCGCATAAGAATACAATATGCTGGGACCCCTAATGATACTTGGAATGGGTTTACAATGAATACAATACTAACAGCAAGATTTTCAGATGCTCACATCTGCCACGCTTAATGATAAAACTCAACAGTGACTCAAAAAGTCTTTTCTCAGTCCTGTTCATTGTTCACGTTTAATATGACTTCTTTCCAGTGCCACATTTATTGAAAGCAAACACTGATATCTAACTACGGATTTGTTCTCTAATCATTACATACGTTTTCAGCTGTTGACAAATACACACTGTAAAAAAGGAATTGAGAAAACTTAATTCAATGCAACGTAATGCATTCATATTTTCTCTCAACTACCGTCTTAAAAATGTTCTACTTTGTTTTGTTCATTTGTATTTGTTAATTAATTCACTAAATGCAAAGTGCCTTATTCAGCCTTTAAATTCATCAAAGTAACTACATATTTGTTGATAATAAATATGCAAACATAGCAAAAAAATGCATTTATTCTTCTTAAAATTGGTTGTATTACGGCTGGCAGGATGATTTTACTCGACTGTAAAAATGTCCCAGAACACCAGAGTTGAAGGACTGGATTGATGGGATGATTGAAACTGCTTCATATGAGTGTCTGTTGGGGAGAAATGCAAAGAATGTGGGATTATTTCTGGCAACGTATAAAAATGGGATAAGTGAGCAGGACTGTGTGACAACTAGTGCTGCTTTCCTCAACGAAAATTATGACTAAATATCGTCGTCAACGAACCTTTATCACGTGACGAAAACCAGACGAGACGACCTCGTTCTTCCCGAGTTACATTAAAGATTCGTTCAAAATGAACGAATCGTTCAAGAACGACCCAACACTATCGTTCGCGGCCCATGTGAGTGCTCCACTCATATACCGTTCATGCATCGATGTAGTACAGTATTTATTTCTGTCTGCAATAGCCCTACTGTGCTGTAACAAGGTGTGGTAAATGGGCAACTCTGGTAACGCTGCCCTCTCATTCATTGATCTGATAACCGTTATGCTCAGGTGTTCTGATCATAATAGCTACTAAAATGCTCAGACTTTTAGTTGACTAAAACTTGACTAGACTAAAAAGAGTATGAACGTGACTAAAACTAATAAAAACTAAAATGACAGTTTCACACAGACTAGACTAAAACTAAAATTAAAGCAGGCCGCCAAAAACAACACTAGTGACAACTCTTTTAATTTCCATGTACTTTTGTCTTGATTGTATCTCACTGAATATGTAACTGTAAAGGCATTTATGGAACACTGTAATGATGTACAGAGTTTTTGGACTGTTGAACAATTAAAAAAAACAACAACGGTGACATCAACAAACAAATAAACAAAAACAGCAAAAGTTTAAATAGTCACCAAACAGCAAACAGTAATCCTGTAACAGTAACCACATCATTTATTCATGCTGAGGTGCATGCTGGGAACTCACAAATCCTTAACATTTCAGCAATATTGCTCAATATGAAATTCTTCATTCAGACAACTGCGTTTGACTAGCTGGGACAACATTTGGTTTAAATGTAGTGTCAGTGTCAAGTACAGTAATTCACAAATCCGATTATTTGCAAGGTCCCATAAATGGGAAAATATGTCTTTTTTTTTAAACAGTGTGCTACTGGGTGTTAAAAACCACATTTGTCATAAAGTTCATAAAATAGTTATTTTTCTACCTCCTCCACTTTCCCCCTCTCTTTCTCTATCTGTCCTCCTGTTCCCCCTCTTCTTCTTCTTTCCACTCCGCCTCTTCTCAGTCCCGTGTTGGGAAAACTACTCAAACATGTAAACAGATTAGGAAGAAAAAAACCCACTAAGCTAAGCTGAAAGATTAAGATGTTAAAAGGAGAGTTTAGATGCAAATTGGTCACACAAATGTAAAAAAATAAATAAAGAGTAACATCAACAGTAACATCAATCCATATAGGTGCATGAAATAGCAACAGTACACTCTAAAAAATGCTGGGTTAAATACAACCCAGTGCTGGGTAAAATAGGGACAAACCCAGCAATTGGGCTGTTTTGACCCAGCGGTTGGGTTAAATGTTTAACCCAACCTTCTGGGTAGTAACCCAACCACTGGGTCAAAACAACCCAATTGCTGGGTTTGTCCCTATTTTACCCAGCACTGGGTTGTATTTAACCCAGCATTTTTTAGAGTGTACACATCCCGAGTTAAATGTTACAGTAAGGCAGTAAATATCTTTCATTAAACAGAACTAAAAGACTGTGGCTGGCCCTAAAGTGCCACTTACCACACTTCACTGTAATGCTGTAACATATGCCAACAAACAACATACCTGATTACTGACATTATATTTGGACTGTTACACCAGCCCCTGGTGTGGCCTGGTTTCTCCCAATATGTGTGAAGTGCTAAGGTGTGCTGTCCTATCCTTTCTGTTCCAGGATTGTGATTGGCTTTTGTTGTCAGGTCACAGTATGGCCCACCCTTCTGCTTCGGTGTCTTAGCTTATCTACATCCTAAAACACTTCTAAAGTAACCCGGCAGGCATGGTTTCAAATATGATGCTGAACTGTCAGCCATGCATTTAGTGGAGTATGCATGCAATGTTGTGTAAAGCAGTTTATATCATTCTCTTAATGGAAATGTAGAGGTTTTTCGTTTTTTCTCAGCCACATGGCCACGCAAGTTAGATTCCTGTTTTTCATGAAAACCCTGAAGAATTGTCTATTGTTCAGAGTCAGCAGCCTCAATACAGTAGTCTGTGTGATTGTTTGCATTTATAACTCCACTTTGCCAAAACGCTAGTTGGCAGTGTCGACTTTAGGAGCAAAGTGTAAACAGGAGACGATGTTCGTTGACCTCCTCCGTCCAAGCTGTGGTGTGTAATCAGCCTCACCGCTTTCATTAGCAGCAATCAGACTCGATTACATTCATTTCCAGTGGATGTGAAGGTGCCGTAGATACACATTTTTTCTGGTTACAAAGTGGTTACCAGTCACAGCTGGTCATGTGGTGTAACCCACTGCTCTCTCCAAAAGGTGCTGTCATCTTATTTGAGGACAAAAAGGCTTTTTTTTGTTGTCCACATAAACCCCATCACACTGATCCAATTTACATGCACTTTTGTAGGAAACTATAGTCTGCCCCGACCCAGATTCCACTCCACAGTAGATGTTAGATCATGCTCATTTCCCAAAACGCCTTAATTATTATAAAGAAGATGAAAGTCAACAGTTATGTTGTTTCTAGATCACTTGGGATGATCACATCTTGAGCAAATGGTGACCGATCTCAGACAATTAGGTGTCAGAACTACATTAACATACTGTTACGACTTCATTTGCATTAAGGGTAGTAAACTGAGCGATGGAGGTTCAGAACGCTCAACTTTGAGCTGCTTTCAGAAGATGTGTGGATTAAAAAATGAGTGCAGATGCAATGAACGATTAAATACAGTATTTTATTCACTGAAGCCAACATTGTGTCCCTGATCTTTGAGGGCAGGCGTAAGACACGCTCATGCCAGGAGATCACAACCAACACATCCAGTCTTCTGAAAACAGGGCAACAGGCATATTGAACAACATTTACAGATTTAAAGGAGTAGTACAGGATCACAGCTAAAAAAAGGTATTCACAATATCTGAGTTTGGACAGCAAACGGTCCAACTGATGGCTAAGGCGCATTAAAACCAGCTGCTCTCCTTCAGTACTCACACAACTGCATTTTGAGAGGAGATCCTACATTACAGGGTTCGCCAAAGTAAACGCACAACGATGACAAGGCTGGAGGAAAACTGTAATCATGATTTGCACACAGGAGACCGACAAACAAAAGTCAAAAACAAAGTGAGTGTTCCAGTCAAAATATTGTTATGACAAAGAAAGATATTTCAAAGCTTGAGATTAGGCAAGTCTCACTTTTGGATGATTTTTCATTTGAGTTATTGTTTTTATTTTGAAACCCTAAAGTGCACTTGCATGCCCATATCTTTATGTTACACTTCGTCTGACTTTTTTATTTTATTTTATTGTTTTCTGCATCCTATGAAAAATAATAACAAATGCAATTACTATTTTAAAGTACTATGTCTGTGTAGGACGTGCACTGTTAAAGGGTTAGTGCCAGCGTTACATGTTCGGTCTGGAAAAGCGGCGAACATCAAACAACATGAAACATGGTAGCACATAAAAGGAAGAGTCGATCTCTTCATATCACCATTCATACTGATGACAGTTTGTAGTATGCATTATTAAGTGTGTATATACTGCTCAAAAGTAATGCAACTTTTGTTCTAAAATTAGCAACAAATAAATAAAAATAAACATCATCTAAGTGCTTCTGTGTTCAGAACTGGACAAGAGAAATAATTCGTCCTGCAATTTCACAGCGAGAGAAAAAATACAAAAAACAAGACAGAAACAATATAAAGTCTGCTGAAAGAGCTTGTAATCACAAAAGCACAATGTAGATATGATCCTCTCTATTTGTCAAATTCTAACATAAAATAAAGTGTCCTTAAAAATACTTCAAGTAAACAAAATGTCGTTATAGACGGGAACTCGAGAAGGGACTCAAACTAGTATCTGTAAATGTGAAAAGCTTTTCATATAGATTCCTTTGAAACCTTCGAAAGTTCAAATAAGTAACTAGATCCGGCTTTGTTTGGTGTGCAAAAACAGTGTCGAACGTTCATATAGTGTTCACGACGTTTGTTTCTGTAATGAAAATGAATCTTAAATTCAAGGTTAGCAAGCATCACGAAAAAAGTAACTGAAACGCTCTCAATTCCTCAAGAAACCTCTGCATTCGAACAACCTAAACATGACGGCAAAAACACAGGAGCACAGACAAACTAACACGACTTTACACGAGTGAAACTGTACCTTCAATAAAACCAAACACAGATTTGGTTACGCTTGAAAAACCTGTATAATGAAGTAACATATCACTACCCTTTATAAAGCTCTCTAAAAGAGTCAAAAGAACTAATAAAGTGCACTATAAATACTACTGGCATCTTTACAACAATAATGTTCTGAACTGAGAATTAAAAATTCAAATATAGAAGATTATAAAATGCACAAAAAGAGCATTGGCATTTACACTACTGAAAAAGCAGAAGTATACTCTTTACTTCAACAAACAGATAAAAAAATAAATGGCACAAACTGCGCAGCCGATGACGTTAGCATGAACATCATCTAATCTTGCAGTCTGAAATGCTGTAACTCAGCAAGTACCTCGAAATCATCATTAGAAAATAATCTCTTTAGAGTCTGGGTCCATTGCTGTGACATGCTGGTACGATCCATTAATGCGCGCGCGAAGGTGGTTAGTACATCGGTCGTGGATTACATCCGCAACAAAAACGAAAGGCTATCGTGATAAATCCTGCATCATACCCATGCATCTCTCTGCTGTTTATTAGTCTAGTAAAATAACTCGCTCTGAGCTACTGCCGAGCATATGTTTCCACTTCACTTGAAGGAAAAGCAAATTTAGGGGAACAGCACAATCAAGAGACGTTCATGTTCTCAGAGCGAAATCAGCGGCACTTTATTTTACAGTCCTGTTGCGCATGTACACACTCTAGCAATTACAATAACTGGGTAATAACTACAGTAGGTGTTAACCCTAAACCGCTGTAGTTACCTGATGTTACTCAGTCATTTCTGCAAGCGCATGTACTGTAAAATAAAGTGCAACCGCAAAACCATTACACGCTAACAAATAAAAAAAAAACACACTATTTGCTCCACAAGGGAGACCTAGGGATTTACAGCTTCCAATCAATTGATCAATTTACATTTTACACAAATGTTTTCTGATACAACTGTCGGCAGATAAATAAATGACATCCAAATATTATACAGTGGCTCTCTGAGAGGAAGCAGGAGACTGTCTATGTGATCTTGGGTGTTTCGGGCCGGTAGTCCTTCCGCTCGGACGTGTTGCGCTTGACTTTAGCGGCGGCCGGCTGGGACTCCTGGTTGAGAGATGGGCTGGACTGAGACTTCTTCAGCGCCGCGTCACCGTCCCGGGCCGTCAAGAGCTCTCTCACACCCTCTTTCAGGAGCTTGACGTACATCTCGTAACGGCTCTCCTTCAGAGAGAATTCAGAAAATCCATTAGACTCCATTATAATGTCATGAGACGAGCGCTAACAATAGCTCTGCTAACAGCACCTCGCTGTCACTGCACCTTCAAAGCAGACCTTCAGTCAAACAGCACCTTGTGAGTGGCTCAATTAAGGCAAAACATGACAGGCAAAAACACTGCTTTTCATGCACTGGCCGACTGTGAGATTTCAGGCAATTTTGCTTCCATAACATCTCTTCTCCTTCAGACTAATGGAAAGACAACATCCAAAATACACATTTGTGACCCTGGAGCACAAAACCTGTCTTAAGGGTCAATTTTTCGAAATTGAGATTTATACATCATCTGAAAGCTGAATAAATAAGCTTTCCATTGATGTATGGTTTATTAGGAATATTTTAGAATATTTGGCCGAGATACAACTATTTGAAAATCTGGAATCTGAGGGTGCAAAAAAATCAAAATATTGAGAAAATCATCTTTAAAGTTGTCCAAATGAAGTTCTTAGCAATGCATATTACTAATCAAAAATTAAGTTTTGATATATTTACGGTAGGAAATGTACAAAATATCTTTATGGAACATGGATTTTGGGATTTATGGATGAATTTATGGATTTATGGCATAAAAGAAAAATGGATAATTTTGACCCATACAATGTATTGTTGGCTATTGCTACAAATATACCCCAGCGACTTAAGACTGCTTTTGTGCTCCAGGGTCACATTTAACTGTTTATTTTGTTACACGTTAACTATTTGCATCTGTAGATTTGAATTACAATACTTTAAAGGCTGTTTTCTCAAAATTAGTTTTTTCTCAGAAACTTCAGCAGCACTTACACCAAACCTTACAGTTTCATTCCTATCAATATTCTCAAGGTTTTTACCGAGGGGTTTGTTCACATACCATCCGTTTTATATAACATTTTATTCCTGAAATCCCTTCTGTAAAAACCTTTAACTCTTAATATATGTCAACAAAATAAACCATTTTGAATTTTGGATGTATCCAATGTTCACATTTCTGTTCTGGATATGTATGCACATTTGTGCAAATCTAATTCAATAATGCTTCATTTATATATTTAAACATATCATTTCATAAAACTTGCAATACAAAACAATCCTCTTAACCCTTTTGAACCCTATTCACCTGTGGTGTCTTGCCTTGAAGTGCACCAACAGACTCAAGCCAAGCTCACAGCTCACAGTAGAGTTTGATCATAGCATGTTTTCAATTCCATGGGACGATTCTCTGTTGATCATTTTCAGAACTGAATAAAATCTATTTATAATCCATTATCATAATTTGTCTCAGTGTCCATCATTTGGAATGATTTTTTACTGAGCTTGTTAAAGTGCTTTCTGAGATTGACTTATCTAGGAAGGACATTGCGATGTTGCCAAGAACTTGGTCAAAGCCTACTGTTTTGAGCAGCCTTTGTGTCTAAGCGAGCTAAACACTAATGTTTGGAACAGAGCTACAGGGCTAAACTCTGAATATAATAAAGATGAACTCACAAGAGTGCTTTATATAAGATTAAATAAATCTTCTATTGTCACATTATACTAATTACAGTATGGGATTGTTTTCTCAAGGTGGTCCTGACCGTTAAAACGAGAGATATAAAAGTTCATCCAAAACATTTTTTTCACATTTTCTAAAGATTTACGCACCCTTAGGCCATCTAAGATGTAGATGAGTTTGTTTCTTTATCAGGAGAAAGTAATATTTATGCATATGGGTCATATTTTAGCTGGAAACAACAATTTGAAAGTTAACAAAAATCGTCTTGATGGATTTGTTTCTTATAAACACGCACCTTTTGGCTTCTGAAGTCATTAACTGTTGGACTGGAGTGCTGTGGATTGCTTGTGGATTATTGTGATGTTTTTATCAGCTGTTTGGACTCTCATTCTGACGGCACCCATTCACTGCAGAGCATCCATTGCTGAGACAGTGAGTGCTAAATTTCTCTAAATGTGTTCCCATGACGAAACAAACTCATCTACATCTTGGATGGCCAGAGGATGAGTACATTTTTAGCAAATGTTCATTTTTGGGTGAACTGTTCCTTTAAATCCACATAGAGGAGGGTCTTTTACCCTTAAATGTAAAACACACTGACTGGAATATTGATCATGTTGTCAGGCCAAAAGTGTGGAAAAAAAACATCAGATGTGTGTGGATATACTGTATGTTACAGTATGTAGATGTGTGATTGGTCTAGTTTATTAAGAGGGGTTAATACACTGCAATATAAGTGAGTTTATCACATTACACATTATAATGCTGCTATCCATAGAACTAAACTAAGATCACTTTAATCAATTAGATAATTCCACTGGATTAACCATAACAGAGTAAATAACCCACATGTGTATGTTAAAGTATATTTATTAGTTTCTGGGTTTTGTATTTATCACACACATTGCTCTTCCACCGCGCTTGATGCCAAGGCATTTCACATCTGATCAAGTGCCTCCCTCAACACAGCTGCACTTAAACTACATTTGAAAAGTTTTGGGTCGTTTGATAATTCTAGGCGACTTCTCTTTGAATTCTGCAATTGTAGAAGACCCTTTCCAGGAATAGGCCTCAAAACAGGACTCCAAAATGAAGTAATTTGGTTTTAAATAAAATGATTTGTGAAAGATGCCACTTAACTATTATTATACAAGCTGTTACTCAGCAAGGGCTAGTTTGGGACCAAATGTTGTAGTTACAGAAAAACCCATTTCCCTTAAATTAAAGAAAAAAATATTGTTAAATCATTTTAATAAAAACAGCCTTGATAACAGGAATGAATGAGCTTAAAGTCAACACAACAACTGTAATTTGTTGTAAAACATAATTTGTTTAAAAACGGAGAAAATGGATTTTTAAAGATAATTCGTTTTTTTTTTTAGATCATTTAAATTTTAAGCACCAACTAAAATGCATTGGTAATTTTTCTTTAGTGTGCATGTTCAGTTGGGTCCATCACAGGACCTCCTATTCTTAACGCAAGAATCATACCACTATACTACTTAGTTACACTATAAAAAAATATTGGGACACCATTTGTATTGCTTTGAGAGCACCAAAAGTTCCTATTTTATTTACTAGTTATGCATTAAGATTGCTTATGTTTGAATTCTTTAAAGATGAGAACAAGCATTTATAAAGTATCTTGTTTAGTGTTGAAACAAAAGCGCAGCCTCTCTGATGAGTTTTGTGTTATTCCCTTCCTCTGACCTTAACTATCAATCAAAGGCAGAAAATGAAACGGCTTCAGCAAACACATTTCCATCAATTCTAGGCAAGTTCATCTCTGACAGCCTAGATGAGGAACGTTAAAGACAATGAACACGAGTGTGGGGGAAAAATACGGCCCAGCAAACGATCTGCTTAATTGTGACCCTGGAGCACAAAACCTTAAAGGGTCATAAAAGATGATTTTCTCAATATTTAGATTTTTTTGCACCCTCAGATTCCAGAATTTCTAATAGTTGTATCTTGCCAAATATTGTCCTATCCTAACAAACCAATGCATCAATGGAAAGCTTATTTATTCAGCTTGGCCTCGTGGGACTTGAGCTGCTCTTCCTGTAACACATCAGACACATCAGCAGTATTCAAAGGCTTCAGACAGACACAGCACGTGCCATCAGCAGCATTTCACTTCCCTCTTCAGACCCACCTGAGACATTATATTTGTAGCAATAGCCAACAATACATTGTATGGGTCAAAATTATCGATTTTTCTTTTATGCCCAAAATCATTAGGATATTAAGTAAAGACCATGTTTCATGAAGACATTTTGTACATTTCCTACTGTAAATATATCAAAACTTAATTTTTGATTAGTAATATGCATTGCTAAGAACTTCATTTGAACAACTTTAAAGATGATTTTCTCAATATTTAGATTTTTTTGCACCCTCAGATTCCAGAATTTCTAATAGTTGTATCTTGCCAAATATTGTCCTATCCTAACAAACCAATGCATCAATGGAAAGCTTATTTATTCAGCTTTCAGATGATGTATAAATCTCAATTTCAAAAAATTGACCTATGACTGGTTTTGTGGTCCAGGGTCACAAATTGTGTCTCTTGCATCATAAAAGGCAACGGCGTCTACCTCAAAATCCAGGTAGTGCTCTTTCAAGCGGTACTCATCGATCTCTTTGGCTTTGACCTTCTTATCCGGCGGGTAGGATCTGTGCTCGGCTAATTCTGTAGAGACGTGCTTCAGCTTGGCCTCGTGGGACTTGAGCTGCTCTTCCTGTAACACATCAGACACATCAGCAGTATTCAAAGGCTTCAGACAGACACAGCACGTGCCATCAGCAGCATTTCACTTCCCTCTTCAGACCCACCTGAGACATGCGGGTGGTGGTCGCCGGCAGCAGCGGACGGCTGAATTTCTTCTGAGAGCCGATGGCAGCGGGGAAGGATGGGGCGGAAAACATGGCCGCCACCGAGTTGATTATTCTGATCCAGGACTCCATTTCCTCAGGGCTCCTACAGAGGAGAGATTGCACGTGTTCATATGACAGGGTTTCTACAGACATGAACAAGTTAAATTTAAGACTTTTTAAGACCTTTTTAATACCACCTTATATGAAATTTAAGACCTAAACCTGTAATGGAAATACACATTTTATTACATACATATATGTAATATTTAATGTGTATAAATTAAAAAGAAAACAAAATAT